ACTAATGCATGAAAATCCTAACCTCAAAAAAATCACCCGTTAGATGTAGGTATGTAGATAGGGCAGTCTATAACGGAACTCATAAAAATCAAAGCCTTCAACTTTAAGTAAAATTAAAAAAAAAATCTTCAAAACTTTACCATTAATAAAAATTAATACATAGTTACGATTGCGATTTAGAAATCTAGGGGAAAGTGGTTCCTAATCGAATGATACTTTCCCGTTTATGTAAATGTATATATGCAGCCTTTCCAATAACTGCCTCTTTTCGCCATAAGTACGGTATTGATAACATATGTATGTATGTAGCAGTGCCGAATTTCAGGATGTTAGCATAAGCGGTCCCAGATATAAGCTATATGAGAAGTTCCGTTTGTATGGGAGGCGCCACGCCCCTTTTCCAATGCGTACATCGGTGAAAACTGCATTCAATTCCATACATTAGTTTTTGCGTGATGCGCTTACAAACATACAGACAGGCAGACCAAAATTAAAAAATTGTTCATTTGGCTTCTGTTGATCTAACTAAACCCCTATTAACTTTTCTTTAATATCTATTATGTACAGATATCGGCCTGTTACAATTTTATTATTCTCAAATGCTTTCGTTTGATACTCATATGGCAACATTTAGTTTATGTTATCAATTTAACTAAATTAAATTTTTCAAATAGGTGGCAACCCGCTTCAAAAATATTTTCGAAAGTAAGCTTTAGTTTAATATCCGTGTTGTAATATTTCATTTATTTTACCAATTAAAATGAATACAATTTTTCGAACATGTGGCAACCTCCCATAAAATATTTTTGGCTGTAAACCCTCTTTCGTTTGACGCCAATATTGAAATATTTAGTTTGTGTTATCAATTAAATTAAATAAAAGTTTTCAAGCAGGTGGCAGCCTTCCACAAAAATATTTTGAGCTGTAAGCCTTTGTAAGCCTCTTTCTTTTGACAGCCATATTGCAATATTTATTTCATCAAATCAATTAACTTAGACTGAAATTTTCAAACAGGTGGCAACTCTCTAATTTTTTCTTCTATATTGTAAGTTAGACCTATAGCGATACATTAGGAAAAACTGAAATCGATTCCACAAATTAATTTCCAAGTGATGCGCGTATAAAGGTATGTAGATATACAGACAGACAGACAAAAATTCTAAAAATTGTATATTTGGCTGCTGTACCTCTTATAAAACCCCATATTAATTTGTCTTTAATATTTATAATGTAAAGACATCAGCCTGTTACAATTTTATTATAAGTGTAGATTTCATTTATTTTATCAATTTAATTCAATAAAAATCTTCAAACAGGTGGCAACCCTCAAAAATATTTTCGGCAGTAAACTTCCCACAACCTTTTCAATTTGATTCCCATATTGCAATATTCAATTTATTTTATAGATAAAATGAAATTAAAATTTTCAAACAGGTGGCAACCCTCAAAAAATATCTTCGGCTGCAAGCCTTCTTAAACCTGTTTCTTTTGACGGCCATATTGCAATATTTACTTTTTCATATCAATTTACTTAAACTGTAATTTTCAAACCGGTGGCAACTCTCCATTTTTTTCTGTAAGTTAGACCTCTAGCAATACATCGGTGAAAACTGCGTTCAATTCCATGCATTCGCTTTCAAGTGATGCGTGTGCAAACATACAGACAAGCAGACAAAAATTCAAAAATTTGTTGACTTGGATTCTGTTGCTCTAATAAAGACGCCCCACATTAATCTTTCTTTAATATCTATAACACAGGGCAACACTGATTTTGTTTCCTGAAATGTAAAAGCAGTTTTCGATAGACCTTTTTGTGCTGATTGCGAATCTGTTTCCATCAACTTTAGATTTTGAGAAAAACGTGGTCAAAGTACCAAAAGATCGCGTTTTTTGCAATATTTGAGAAGCTCTAGCAAAAAAACTATATTAAAGCTAGAACTCTCGTTCACCTTGACTTGATGGTCACTTATAGTCATTTATTGAATAATAATAAAATACTGGAGTATTGTGCTATTGGAATAAATGACTATAAGTGACCTTAGGGTCAAGGTACTTTCAGAGATTGTAGTTGAAAGTTCAAGCCTTAATTTAAGCCAAAGTGGAAGATTCTATCACCTTTTGTTTAATTGAGGTAGGTACTCAAACTTCGCCAAAATCAGTTTTTGCTAATCAACAAATGCCTATAAGTGACCATCATGTCAAGGTACACGATTGGTATTTCCAGGAATAGTTGCAAAAAACGCGATTTTTTGATACTTTGACCAGGTTTTTCTCAAAATCTAAAGCTGATGGAAACTTTATACCTACAGATTCGTAATCAGCACAAAAAAGTCTATCAAAAACAGCTTTAACATTTTAGGAAACAAAATGTTTTCCCATTTTTGTTGGCCTGTGTAATATACAGATATCGGCCTGTTAAAATTGTATATGTATAGATGTGTTTTTAACTCAAGATTATGGCCCGTAGTTATAGACAAGTTAGAGGCAGGTTTTAACATTTAAAACTGTATATTAAGATAAACACCCTTTTAACACTGTCATAGTCAACTTAAAAGACCTTTTAACTTTAAAACGGCGTTTTAAATTTAAAATGAGGTTGACGAGGTTTTAAAATCTTAAAAGCGTACCCTAAGTAGACGTTTTCCTGTCAAAATTTGCGGAGAAAATACAAAAGTGGTCTTAATTTGAAGAATATGCTTCCCAATCAAAGGATATCTCGAGATTTTGCGATTTTGGATGATACTATCGCAACCAGAAATAGGAAAACATACAAGGAACGTCAAGATCCTTTTCAAATGAAAGAGGAGGACCGCAAGCAGATCTTTACAGCAGCAGTCCAGTTAACTTCACGAATTCTTTTCACTTCCCATAAAAATTAAATTATTTACGTTGATAAAATATATCTTACAAAAATTTGTTATTTACTTACAGTTTGCTGCGCCATTTTCAAAATTATTTATAAAAGTCAGTTGACACAGGGTGAACTTGCTAAAATAACAAAGTTTTCCTAATGGCGATTGGTTACTTTTTTTCATTTTATATTAGTGGCCCTGTTTTATGTCAATCTAGCAAAAACCTGCCTCTAACATGTCTATAACTGACTAAAACTTAAAGCCTGCTCTTAACTTAAAGATTAATTTTAACTAGAAGAGGTTTTAACTTTCGACTATAACTACGGCCCGTATGTGTTTAACTCTGTAGTCTAGTCTTAAGCTGGCACTTTTAAATATTCATCTACTTATACTAGCTTTTTATATACATGTTAGGAATTCTCATACTAAAATATTAAAACTATTTTTCAACAGATACAATTTCCAGTTGAAACCACACAATCCTGAACACAAACCACCTGGTCCTAAAGATATTGTTTACCTGGAACAGTCACCGAGTTTTTGCGAGAAAAATTTGCGCTTGGGCATCCAAGGAACGCATGGACGTCAATGCAATGATACATCTATCGGCGTTGATGGGTGTGATTTGATGTGTTGCGGTAGGGGTTATCGTACGCAAGAAGTCGTCGTCGTTGAACGCTGTGCATGCACGTTTCACTGGTGCTGTGAAGTCAAGTGTAAATTATGTCGAACGAAAAAGACAATACACACATGCCTTTAGATGCATTCTTAGTTATATGCATGTTCCTATTACCCCAATAACTTCTACAAGCTCAATAAGCCTACAAGTTTTTAATGGGAATATACATATTTATACAATAAATAAAATGCTTGCAGAGTCTGCCACAAATCATCATCAAGGAATATATACATAAATACATAGATACATATGTAAAAATATCAAATCATATGTAACAAGGTTTTGAACAGGAAAACGATCAAGCGAAATTTGAATATTAAGCAAAGCTGAATTAAAAGTTGGAGATCGAAGATATGCTGGCGCCTTGCCGCTTGTTATACGCTATTTATTTATTTATTTTTATGCAATTTTGCTATAAAGTTTATCCGTCATATGAAATAGTAGTACATAATATTTAGCTGTCAAGAAAGTGAGTATGCTTAAGTTGTTGCATCAGTATTTTAGTGGTGAAGCTAATATACATATATATATGTATATGTATAAATGATATGTATATGTATGTATGTATAAACATACATCCCATTCATGGATAACATCCCAGTAGAAATCGGTTGTATGCATTCATGAAGTATGCATGCTGTATGAGTGAATAGTGTGAACAATTCATGCGTAGTCATGTAAATTCAAATTCTAGCGAATTGCAAGGGAACGCATGTTGTTGTTGTTTTAAGAACACTTCTTGATAAATTTGAACTGGAATTTTTGTAACATTTTCAGTCTAGTAAAAAATTTTAGTGAACGGACGTGTTGTGCGATAATATTTTCAGCTCTAGCGGGCTTTTACAAGATATGCATTTGCATATGTAAATGATGCTTTTTTGTATATCCCCGTATATTAAAATATATCAGAAAAGTAACATTAACATATGGAGATACATATGTATCTTGTAGGAATGCTTTAATACTGTTCCATTAATGCAGTTTTGTATGTTTGAAACATTAGACAGCCATATGCATACAGCAGTAGTACAAGTATATGGTTAGAGTATGCATACGCTCTGAGAAACCACACGTGTTAAATGGAAATGAAGGTTCATTTATACTGGCATGTATACACAGCAGCAAGCTCATGCCACCAACAGCGATGTCGTATGCATAAAATTTCTACTGGGATGTATCAGTTGGGCTCCGTAGTAACTCGTTTGCATACAGTACTCTTACACGATATGCATTTCCATACGAGTACATGCAAAAAAGTAGCATTTACAGATGCAATTACACATCGTGTAAGAGCCCTGTTACACTTCTGAATCAGCCCTGTTCATGTTTTGTTTGCAAGTTTATTATACATACATACATATGTATGTATATCAATATATCTCATTTTAATAATTAGGCGAAACCCACCTAATTAAGCGCTTTTTTGCGCTTTCAATCAACAGTATTAAAGCAATTGAATTTTTATGTAGTATGTAGATACTCTTTAAAGGAATAATCACAACAAATTCCCAGTTCATTATTTTATAAATGTCGTTAAATTTACATAAATATAATAACCTTTTATTCTACTTGATGTACAGAAATACACCTAAATAAAGACTGAACTGTTGTAAAGTACTTAATTAAGAGCCTATCACTTGTTCATTTAGTTTCCAGATTTTTAGAATGAAATGCTTTAGCGTAGATAATATCTATGTGTGCATATGCATAAGGATATACATACATTAGACCTTATTATGATGCATGGAGCGAAACAAATTTAATTTTCCTAAAAATTGTGAAACAGTGATTATCCAGTATGCAGCACTGACCTGGTGACCAAAATTCAAGCAAACTGCAAAAGTTTCACCGTTTGGCTTGTGTGGATCAAGAAAACAGTAAGACGATTTTTCAAATGGAGCTTTTGGGGATTTTCTATGTTAGCGATTTTAAATTTCTGAACAGGTAGACTATTTTGAAACAAATTCATTTTCAAATTCAAATAAGATTATTTTTAAAGGAGCGTTTACAATGTTAGCCCTGAGCTGAGAATGCTTTCTTTGAAATGTTCTTCTGTTCGAATTACAATTACAGCTTGGAGTGAAGTTGTCTTTATGCTCGATGTTTGAAAACGTTTGCCCGTAGTTATAGCCAAAATAAAGTCGATCCTAAAGTATGGAGTATTTCTCAAAAAAGCTTGTTTTAACTTAAGGGTCAACTTTATTTTGACTATAACTTCGGGCCATTGTATTTATGCCATTAAGAACGCGAAAGTTCATTCCAAGCGAATATTGTAAACAGGAGAACATTTAAAAAAGCGCTGCCAACCCCAAGCTAACTTTGAAAATGCACCCTAATAATCGTAAGCAATTTAAATAGTATGAGGAGCTTGCTATTATTTATAAGGTTCCGGAAAGTCCTAGGGTTAGTTGCAGCCAGACATATTAAAATCATACAATTTATTTTCTTATATTGAAATAATTGCCAGATCCATTGTTTTTACACCCGAGCGCACTTGTGCATAAGGGTATTATCGCACATAGTGTTTGTTTGTAACAGTCTGAAAAACTACTTTTAGGTTAGATAACTAATACTTACCAATAAATTAGTACAAGGTAAGTCTGAATGCGCTTGTGAACCCTTTGAAGTGTCATCTCAATACCGAGTCTCGTTAAAGCCAGTATTCAGCTCTCAACAAAAGCAAAAACTCATATAAAATGACGTGCAAGAAATGGCTAAGAAATTTTTTTGTGCCAAATTTCCTTGAGGCAGTACGCAGTTCTTAAGAAATTTTCTACGCTTTTTACTACAGTTTTCTAAAGTTTTTTGTAAAAAAAAAGAGCACAAGGCAACCCACGTTTGCAACAGAAATATATGCCCGTTCTATTATTTCTGGCCTTAAACAGTAACTCTGGTAGACAGCTCATAAGTTGTGAGAGGCTTAAAATCAAATGGGAGATTCGACCGTACACTTTCGAACTTATGAGCAAGTGGCAGCGTTGCCGCATATATACCAAAATGCTCATAATGAAAAGATAAATCGATTAAGCCATGTCTGTCTGTCCATCCATCTGCCCATCCGTCCGTTTATACGATAACTCGAGAAAAAATTGAGATATCTTAATGAAATATCTTCATTAATGTATATTTTAACTATCAATATCTTATAAATATAAGTGTAAAATTTTTTTATCTAAAACTAATATATTAGTCCTTGACATATATTTTTTGGAAGTGAAACTTCTTAAGAGGCGGTATCGCAAAAATGGAGTGTGAAATTTTTAAGACTGACCGAATTTACATGAGTAAGAAGGGAGATATAGTATAGTATACTAGAATTTAATGGGCTGCAAAACTGCATACTCAAAAAATTCTAAAAAATGTGATTAAAAAGTTTAAAATTTGCATTAAAATTTTCTGAATTTTCGCGAGCTTTGCACAAAGTTTAAAAGTTATATTTTTATGTTTTTGTTGTGGAATGAACCATATTTTTATACAAAATTTGCAGAAAAATATTGGAATAAAAATTGTTGCATATATTATGAAAAATTTGTTGTACCAATACTTTGTTCCGGCAGTGTATGTAACTCAATCGCCTAATGTAGCAATGGGCATAATATGCACATACGGGCAAAATGCCCAAACGTGCACACCGCGGGCAAATGTGCAAACCGTTGGGTAGATGAGGTGAGGTAATTATGCCTGGGGGGGGGGGAACAGAAAATTTTGCGCGAATTGCATCTGTATGTGTGATCGGAATGAGAGAACAAGTATAAGTGAGTACTCATGAATGTGAGACCCCATGGCTGCCAACTTTCCTAAAAGCACCAAAACTTGGGACAAATCAAAACACCAAACATTTTTTTTCAGTAAAATTTAATATGCATCTATACTACATTAGTGATCGGTCCAAGATATTAAATAGTAACGAACTAATAACGATTTTAAAATTTTATAGAACCAATTGAATTTTCACTTTAATCACACTTTGGTAAATACATTTTGATTAAATCAAAGGCGTGTATTTAATTTGACAGCGCTTGTGCAAATGCTTTATTTTTTTTTTTTAATTGCAGGTATGGACATAAAAGTGCAAATAAGTTTTGCATTGACTACATTTTACAAACTCCAACGAGCTCAACAGTCACGGAAATGAAGACCACATTCTTATGACCAATGACCATATAACGAAGCTCCAATTTTGTTTTTGTTAAAAAACTGAGGGTTTTTTATAAACATATGACCTCTACTTTATCAAATAAAGTTTAACTGCTAAATTAAAAAAGAAACTTTTTTTCATAAGAGTTTACAGAATTTAAATGATTAGCAGGATTCTAGCGATTTTGGTGGTGAGTACCGACTTCTTGCGCGCATATTAGCTGTTTTGTAATTCACTTTTGCATTGTCAGCGTTCTGTTGGTCGCAAATTTTCAAAGGGAGGGGTTGTTCTTGCGCAGATAGTTTTTCGTTAGAAATTTGCTTGGAAAAAAGGACAATCATGCACAAAACAACCCTTTTATATGACGGTTTTCTACCGACTGAGCCTAGTAACAGCGCTCGGCTCTCTTATTTACGAACACATGCGCAAGCAAGATCGTTAACACGTTATTGTTCGCCAGTATGAATTAGCACATACTATTTTTTACATATGTATAATCAATTTAAACTTTATTGATTTATTAATAAATAAAAATTAAATTGGTCGACATTTCATGATGTTGAATTATTTTTAATAAATAGACTACAAATATAGCTAGAAATTGTTCCTCTATAAACAAAGAGGTGAATATAATAGCCTTTGGCAATATACATTGCATAAAATGGGTTAATACACGTACACGGCTTTTGCTTACCCTTTCGGTTTTAAATTTTTAACCCGCATCAAGCACCTGCTTGCCCGCGCTGTTCCGCGCGAACTGTTCTGCCGCCGATCCCTAGCCTAATGGTTCGCCGAGCCGTAAACATACGTTTACACATCAAATTTCGTGAGTAGGTACTAAAGCTTCCAATCCCGGACCATTTAGTGAATCCCGGGATTTCGGGGTTTTAAATTGGTAATCCTGGGATATTTCGGGATATTATAACCATTAATTAAAATATGCTAACAAACTAGTTTTGCCGTCTTGCTTTATTGTGAATACTAGAAATAAAAATAAATTTGTGTTTTTAAGCAAAGAAATATAAATGTCTTTATTTTATATCAGTTTAAAAAGCTAATTACCAACTGAATAAACTAAAAACTATGGCAATGAAATTCATTCATATTGCAGTCGCAGTAATTTTTACAAAATGTAAAAAATAAGAGATCATCTTTGTGTAGTAATGTTAGTATGCCACAACATATGTATATATAATTATGTATATATAAAAGTCGGACGGATTTCGTAAAAAAATGATGTCGTGGTTCTGATGCGCTTCAAATTTGTTTATAGGTTTTTTATGATATAACCAATAGCCGTATGCGAGGGTTTTATTTTCTTTTTTTCTTCAGAGATATGATGAGTTAAAGATCGAATTCTTTCATGATTCTGACCATTCGTGTTATTCTTCAAATCGTTATATCTCGGGCTCTACTCATCGTAAAAACTTAATCTTAACGTCGTTTTGATGATATGATGGTTAAGATTGTCCTGGAGTTAAATTAGCTATTAACAGTTGAACTATTTCAAGTTGATTTGCATAGTAAAGACCAGTTAATTTGGGACTTCAAGTTACACCATCGTAATCCTTGTTTAATTCTCTATAAAACACATGTTCCAAAAAAATTGGAGTTTTTCATGAACTATTTTTAAAATATTTTTTTTTTTATTACGAGGTGGTTTATTTTGTGAGGGTCAACAATGAAGTCACTACGATGAACAGAACCCGAGATATAACAATTTGAAGAACTACATCACGAAAAAATCCAAAATTTGAAAGATCATATATCCAAAGAAAAAAGGAAATATGTGAAGCCAATCGAAATTGTGACACCAAATTTGGTGTCCGATATGAAAAACAATGCCTCATATATGTA